TTTTTTCTTTTTTTAGGTCAATAAAAAAAATTTCTTAGGTTAGGTGCCAGAATTTTAGTAATTAGTTCTGTGTGCAAAGAAGATGAAAAAGTTTGAAAATATCTGATTTATGGTGTAAACATTTTCAAACATTTAAAAAACCTGAAATTGACTTCCCATACTAATTTACATTTTCCTGATTTTAAATTTACATTCATTCATAGGTTCGATTCCGGTCAAGGGCATGTGCCTTGGTTGCGGGTACATCCCCAGTGGGGAGTGTGCAGGAGACAGCTGATCGATGTTTCTAGCTCTATATCCCTCTCCCTCCTCTCTGTAGAAAATCAATGAAAATATATTTAAAAAAATAAAAAATAAAAAAAATAAAAAATAAAAAAGCTGAAGTATATAATGAGCACACATATACCCTTCCCTTAAATTCCGCAATTATTAATATTTTGTCATTTTTTGCCTTATCTCTAGATACACACACACACACACACACACACACACTCTCTCACACTGCTGACCCATTTAAAAGTTGAAATCATCAGGATATTTTGGGTTTAAATACTTTCACATTTATCTCCTAAGAATAATGACATTCCTCTATTAACCACAACGGCATTATCATACGTAAGAAAATTAATGATAATTCCATTATCTAATTTCCAGTCCATATTAAAATTTTGCCCAACTGTACCATGAACATCTTTTAGATGTTTTTATTGAGCCAGTAGCTAATCAAGGTTCATGCATTGTATTTGGTTGTATATTTCTCACTAGACTCAACACACACTATGTTTAAGAATCTGTAAGTTCAAGTTTTAAGACAGTAGTCCTCAAAATATGGTCCAAGTAACACCTGCTTCCAAATCACCTGGGAATCTTATTTAAAAGACAGATTATAGGCTTCATCCGAGCTTTACTGAATCACAATGCCAGGTAAGTCCTAAACATAGTGAAACAAATTGAGAACAATTGCTCTAAGACCCGTGAAATGATCTATAATAATTATCAACAGAATATCTGGACATTGGCTAATAAATGCACCTGGTTGTTCAAGCTGAGGTGGTCTAATTCCATGAAACGAGTTGCTCATTTTCCTTTTCTTCATTTTTTCACTTGTCTTCTGATTTAAGGCTTGAATCATAAAATACTCCAACTAAAACATGAATCAAATTTTAATTAAAGCTCCAATAAAACTATGTATGTGACATGATTATTTGTACCCAAATCACATTTGCCAAATGTTTTACATGTCCAGACCATCCACATGTGAGCTTTAGCAAACACTTTCAAACATTATTTTTTAAAATGTATCAGGTAAAACATATTATGCCTTGTCTAAACATAAATAAGCTATCCATTCAAGAAGGAACTGTTTATTCTCTTGAATAATCAAGGAAGCCTAGCAATACAACTGTGTGTGTCAATAACCATCTCTCTGGTAACCATGGCAATTAACATTAGAGATAGTCAAGGCAGGAAGAGATATGCTATGTCACGTATGCTCATATTAGCTAGGGAAGTTCACATGCTCATTTTCCTAAATAAATTACTTAGAAATACATCCTTTATTTTATAAATTTAAAATCTTAACCACATGTACTTACACAGCTCCAGGCCTATGCTTTACATTGTGAGGTGTGGGGCAAAAGTACAAATGCAGGTCTCTGTACCACATACCTAAAATTTAAACTATAGAAATCAAGAAAACGGACTGTTATGTAAAAATACTGTATCCTCCTGCTTTGACAAATATGTCACCATAAAAGCCTGGAAGGCCAGGTTCGGCTTTGAATTCTGAGTCCTCAGAGTTTCAAGCAGCACAGGGAGAGTTGGGCCCTAACTCCTAGGACCCAAGATCACCCCTTCTTTTCTCAGCCGCTGCTCCATCCCATGCCTCGGAGAGGTTTATGCACACAAGCTACATACCCGAGTTCCATCCACTCTCCCTTCCCCAATCCTCTTACACAATAACCCCTCGGCCACCTCTCAGGTCCAGGGGTGCACACACCAGCACTGAGGTCCACCTGGAGGAGGACGGATCCAGGAAAGAGTCCTGAGCAGGCCTGGGACACAGACTTGGGCCAGCGACCCAGAGAATTCTGGGGTCCTGGGTTTTGGAGCATGGTCAATACAACCCTCTGCTCTGTGTTGATGAAAAAGTTCTGAAATATCTGTGCTAATCAGTACAGCAGCCACACGCAGCTATTATAAAATGTGCACCTGAAATGAGACAAGTGCACTCAAGGAACTGAACATTTTAAATTAATTTAAATATAATTAGCCACGTGTGGCTAGTGTGGCTACCGTATTAGATGCTGTGGGTCTGGAAGGGGCTACCAGCTCCAGAGGGCACATCCCTTTGGCTCCAGCATCTCGTGCCCTGTGGGGAGGGTGCACTGGAGGAGGGCTAAGGGGCTCTCTAAAGCTCAAGGGCACAGGCCTGCCTTGCCCTGATCTGAGGTCATCCTGCACAGCTCTTCACCCGACTCTCAAACACAGGGTTTCAAATGCTCCTTTCACTCTGACATTATCACCTCCATCCATATTCTTACAAATATCTTCATTTCTTACACTCAAGATCTCAGCTGTACTTTACTTCTCCAGAGTCTGAGAAGAGACCACTCTGATCTTATCTCCATATTCCCATTGAGTTAAGGAAAAAACGAGTTAAGGAAACACTGAGTTAAGGAAAAAAGAAACTGCCATGTTTTTCTTCCAACCTTGGCCACATCTTCAAATCTCTTCATTCCTCCAGCCCTAGCTGTAACACTAGTATTAGGAGCCAAGAGGGGAAAGAAGAGAAAGTGAAAGCTGGGAGGTGGGAAGAGAGAGTTCCAGGTTCAGGAACTTGAATGGGGAACAGGAAGCCTGAGTACCTCCCCAGACCCCTGTCCCCACCAAGAGAACCAGCCCCTCTTCTCCAACACATGAAACGAAACTATCTTCCCCCCCAACTCCATAGGTATTTCAGGACATTGTAAGGGTATTAAACCAAATTAAGATTTTTTTAAGCCACTATCATATCTGCTTGACAGGAAAATTAGGTTTCACCCCTCCCAGTCTTTCTACACATTGCTTATCAATATAATTAAATAAGATGAAAATTTCTCAGTCATTGATATCAATATTGTGAGTATATCTCCCATAGCGGTTTCTTATTGATGTTTCTTATATTACTGGATGAATAATAGCCATTATACTTGGTAGAAATCAGAACCATTTATATCTGGTCCTGATTTTAGCTTTGGTTCTTATCTGGAGTTTAGTGACTCCAGAACAAATGAAATTTCTAGTTACCCGTGGAAACCTCAATGTCTCAACATAAATCTACACAATGAATATTCTGACATACTGGAAAGGGTACTTGATGAGGAGCTAGGGAACTGAGGGTAAAGTCCAAAGTGCTACTGCTTAATGCAGGATTTACCTCTTATCAAGGTTGACTAAATTTGTCTATTCAAAGAAGCCACTTCCTAGAGCAGTGATGGCGAACCTTTTGAGCTCGGCGTGTCAGCATTTTGAAAAACCCTAACTTAACTCTGGTGCCGTGTCACATATAGAAATTTTTTGATATTTGCAACCATAGTAAAACAAAGACTTCTATTTTTTATATTTATTTTAGATATTTAAATGCCATTTAACAAAGAAAAATCAACCAAAAAAATGAGTTCGCGTGTCATAGGTTCGCCATCACTGTCCTAGAGGGTTGGAAAGGTTAATTCTCAAGTCAGTGAATACTTAAATGACACAACTCCACAGCACTCCACAGCACTCCCCAGGGACCCTGCAGCCCTAGTCGGTTGGGTAGGCGCTGTGTGCTAGAAGCTGGCCCCTGAAGTGCCTGCAGAGCCAATCAATGTCACTGCCACTGAGCAACTAACCCTGGCTCCCCACACATCCAGCGAGAAGCTGCTCTGTAAGTAGTTCCTCAGTTTTGAGCTCCACCAAGATCAGAAGTGCATGGAGTCTTGCTGAAACATACACACAGAGAAAGGTAACTATTCTTTTCAAGTAGACAAATGAAGGAGAACTTTCCAGGCCCACCAGTTCAGGGTGCCAGGATGGTTGAGCTATTTAAAGATGACTATTAAAGCTGACATCATGGGTTTGTGTAAGTAAACACACTTTAATCAAGTGGCACCCAACGGAAAATTCCAAAACATCACACACAGACAATAGGAGATGTTTCGTTCGGAGAGAAAAATAAAATTATAATTGTATTCTGACAAAACCTTTTTTTCTACTTACACTCGTATTATTTCTCAAGGTTAAAACTAATCATGCCTTTAAAACTAAAGTTCAAATTGAGGTTCTGGAAAATAGCTAAAGAAACACCCGAAAAATGCCGTTCATTTGTGTAACAGGAATTTCCACTCACCACTCCTCCAAAATACTTCCCGATGTAGAAGTCATCCAGGCTGTGCAGCTCCAGGTAGGTAGCCCCTAGCTCTTTAGCAAGTTGGATCCCTTCGGTCGTACTGACACAGCTGCCTCTGTCTGAGGTGCACAGTGGGCATGTGCAAGGTAATTCTTCTGAGAGAAGGAATGTGAGCAACAAAGAGATTTGAGTTTAAATGGGGTAAAAATGTACAGACGATCTGAACATTAAACAACAAATTAAACGCTCAGAACCAGCTCAAGGGCATTTAGTACATCCACGATCCACTAAGACTCTGAATAAAAAGTGTCAATGAAAAGTCCCTAAAATAAACAAGCTTTAACTGCAAGAAGAATAAACAGTATTTTAGAAAATAGAAGAATTTAAAAATAGGTTTATGGATATTACCAAGTATTACAGTAACTGTACCGTGAGTCAGTAATGGCTGGCCTACTTCCTTTTACGCAACCTTGACATCCTAAGTATCAATACAAATTTAACAACTTGGTTGCCCATAGAAACCATGGAAAACAGTGGGTTCTCTTTTCGTATTACATTTTAAATATATTCACCAAGTTTGAATGGACCTTATACTTTTATTTTAATAGAATCCTCAATTTGACCTGAATCTTCAAGGCTGTTAAACTGCCCCCTCTTTGTAGATTTCATATAAAGTGTATTCTTATTCATCAAGGCATTTCAATTATTAGATTCTAAAGCAGAGACCAAATTCAATCACTCTACCTTTTTCTTCAAGGTTGAAAAAATAAAAAAAAACTGACGGAATAAGAAGTATTTATGCAAAATGTGCACTGTCCCGAGGTTCATGTTTGTAACATGTACAAATCTATGACTGGGAAGGTGCCAAATTAACCTACTATTAAGTACACTCCTTAATAAGGCTAAAAATGTATGTTCAACTCCGTATTTGTCAGCTGGCTTCATTTTGTTTCATGCCAAAACACGAGATATGTCACTGTTCAAAGGCAGCCAAGTCAAAAGAGGGTAAATCTATTTCTAGAAATGCATGCTGTTGTAGGTTGGCTTCCCTGGGAAGCCGACTTTGAGATGGAAATTGCTGTGCAGGTGGTTTACGGGGGGGGGGGGGGGGGGGGGTAGTGATCTTGGGAACAACTCTTCTTAGGAGTGAAGGAAGTAGGATTGGGCAGAGGAAAATTTCAAACTGCAATACGGTTGCAACGGAGACCTCAGCTGATCCTACAGGGTGTTCTGGAGCTTAAATGGCCCTTAGAATGGTTCCCCTTTGGGGAAAGGCAGCTGGACCTTTGTATCCCAAAATCCACCAGCACTCAGAGGAGGCCCACGGCATGCAGGAGCCATAACCTTGGGAAAGCAGTCTCCATAGGCAGAGGGCAGTGCCTGGAAAGGGACTCAGCTATGTGGCATCAGCAGCCAATGAGCCCAGTAACAGGGGGAGTAAGAACAGTGGCCTTAACAGGGCATTTGGGAAATTCCCCACACAATGTGGGAAAAGCCAACACAGCAAATTTTCTACCAAGGAGCTGCATATTGACAGAGCACACACGTGTATATATAGATGTATTCTAAGGATATTCAGTGCACGTGTATACTATGTATGTAACTATGCGTGTGTGCACACATGACAGATAATTTTAGCTTCACTGAAAGCATTTTAGAGCTCAGAGACCGTGTACATACTCACATCCTCATTTTATAGAGGAGGAAACTGAGGTTCAGAGAGGTTAAGTGACGTGTCCAAGTCTCCTTGTGGTAGAAATGGAGAAACAATAAAAAAGTGTTACTTGCTCCATCTGATAAATAAAGGGACATCAAAAAATAAGCTGAAAATTTAGTTTGAATAAAGAATTATAGATTCCAAACATATGGTGATTTTACAGTTAAACTTGGATTCTCTAAATTATGGCATAAGTTCTACTCTGAGTTTCTGCATTTACTTTTTCCAAGATCATTTTAGGTTTGAAGTAAAGTTTTCACACAGAATTTAGCCTACTTTGAAAAACATTGGTATTTCACATTCTTTACAAATCGTTCATAAACAGCGCCTTTAATTTTCTGAAAACAGAAGGTTTTTTATGTCTACAAAGCTCTTCTTATGTTGATGGAATGGGGTGGGCAGGCATTAAACTTTATTTCTACACAAAAATAAAGCAAAGTCAGTAGTTTTCAAGTGAAAATTAAGTGAACATAATTTAAAATACTTTTTAACAAATAATCTGATTTGAAGGAAAATATAACTAATTTCAGGTTTAATCTAGCTCAGTAGGGTTTCCCAATGTGAGTAGCCATACATATCTTAGTGACACTAAAAAGCTCCTCCTTATATCTAACTAGAGGCCCAATGCACGAAATTCGTGCAAGGGGCTTGGCCCGTGAAGCCCTGGCTTCATCTGGAAGGTCATCCAGAAGGTTGTTCCGCTGTTCAGCCATCCGGTCTAATTAGCATATTATGCTTTTATTATTATAGATTCTTATATAGCCTCTTAGTCACAAAAGGTATTTCTTTTTGCTCACACACATACAAAAGGAAAAATGTCTAGGCATTATGTGTTGGGTAGGAGAATCAACAAAACATTTATGGATTAAATAAGCCTTCATTGAGCATTTCATCAGAAACAATCGGAGGACCCCAAATAATTTTAAACTGTGGAGCCTTCTTCAGGAGCTTACTCCTACGAGCCTACCTCAGGGTCAAAGGGACTTTGTGAATAGAGTGCTATGCTTCCAGTCAACATTGTAGTTTTTTTTTCTATGTTATCTTTTTAGTTATCACTAAATGTCCATTATTTTAAAGCAAACACAATGTAACTCTGGAATTCAAATGAATGGCATCTCTTTCAAAGAGGTGGCTTTGTGAATCTTTAGGGTGATTCTTACAATGTTGCCAATGCTTGAAACTTCCAGAAACCCTTGTAATGCCCTGACCAGTATGGCTCAGTTGGTTGAGCGTCGTCCCACACACCGAGAGGTCACTGGTCGGGTACCCAGTCAGGGCACATGCCCGGTTTGCAATCTCAATCCCTAGTAGGGGGCATACAGGATGCAGCCAATCTATGTTTCCCTCACATCAATGTTTTTTTCTCTCTCCCTCTCCCTTCCTCTTGCTAAAATCAATAAAAACACATTTAAAAAAAATCCTTGTAAGAATTCTAGTACATGGCAATGTACTAGGCTATATCAGAGCTTCAAAAAGAAGATAGGATGCCAATTTTCAGGAGCTGAAGGCTATGAATACACCATAGGCATGTTTGGAAGATCTTTTTCCTACTTTAAAGACTAATTCAATATTTAGTAAAAGCCAAAAATGTATTCAGAGCCAAGAACAATGAAGAAGATATACACAGTCAAGCTTGTCAAAGCATGTGTAACAAAGGAAAAAGATGAGATTGACTGTATTTGCTGAACTAATTCTAAAAAGAGACCAAGAGAGGAGTTACCCGGAGTTTCATGTATTACAAGGGATTGGCAGGGGGAGGGGAGACAATAAATGTCCTTGAATAGACAAATTTAGCTTTGTAATTACTTTGTGATCAAATTTTATATGGTAAGTTAATTTCATTTTGTCAGTGAAATTTATTTTTTTCACACATGTATTATCGTTCATAAAAAGATTCAAGCATTCCTAAGCAAATACGTAGTAAGCACCTAACACATCAAATACTAGGGATATAAGGACACACAGATAAAAGAAATTCATAATCAACTGAGCCAATATAGACATGACTACAAACAATTATAATGTAAGTACCAAAATAAAGGTAAACAAATTCACCATGGAAATTGAATTAAATGAACTCTGCCTGGGGGATTATGGAAGGCTGCATAGAAGAGGCACTGATTTAAAAGATAAACATGAATTTGCTACGCAGGTAGGATGGGGGTATTCAGAGGAGCACTCCAATCAGAGGATGTGGCATTCACAGAGGCCTGGACGTGAGAGAAAAAATAGAACACATTCACTTCCAGTTTCAAGATGACTAGCTAAGCCCACACTGCAATCTCTTCTCCCTGCTGAATCACCAAATGATAAAGAGAAGGAGCGGGTAAGAAGAACGAGGGAGAAAGGAAGAAGGGAAGAAAGGGAGGGATGGGGGAGGAAGGAAGAGAGGGAAGAAGGGAGATATGTATATACAGCAACATAAAAAGCAGAGGAGAGATTCTCGCCCAGAAACTGGAGTGCATGAGAGGCCAAAGGCTGATGGCACAGGACCCAAGGGGAAAGCTGAAGCTCGGAGTACTGGTGGGTCATGAAGTTCTGCACTGTGTCAACATCAAGAATGCTCCCTGCTCAATGACTGGGGAGGGAGGGAGTCCCAAGGGCGACCCAGTGGAGAACAGCCGAGTATCCTAGTGAAAGCTGCTAGGCCTGCAGATCCTGTGTGTACTTCCACTCCCACACCTACCCCAGAGAGCAGATGGGCAGAGGAGGAGAAAGGCATCAACAGGGAATTTAAACTGCAAATGCAGGCAAATTAAGAACTATCAAATATCAAACATTTGAGAAGCATCCATACCATGAAATAAAATCTCATCAAATGGAAAGACTTATAAAATGCCCCCAATCAAAACCAAACTTAATAGAGCAATCAAGACAGAATCTTAAAATAAGTATAATCAATTGAGAAAGGTTTTTGTTGTTGTTTTTTTAAGTAGTTATAGCCTTAAAACAGGAATAAGAAATTATGAAAGAGAACCAATTAGAGATCTTGGATATGAAAAGTTGTTGAAATTTTTAAAAAGCAAAACAGCAGAATAGACCCAGAAGAACTAATTTATAAGTTGGGGAAGAAAAAGAAAAAAGACCAAGAATTCTCCCATAATGTGACAGGGAGAAATAAGGGATAGGGAATAAAAAAGATAAGGGAAATGGAGGCAAGATCCAGAAGTTTCAACATCGGTCTCCTAAGAGTCCCAAAAGGAAAGAATAGAGAAAATGAAGGGAAGGTGGTATCTGAAGAAGTCAGGAAGCTGGGCCTTCCCAGACCTAAGAAAGACATTAAGTCCTTCACATAGTTCAATGTGATGGGCATATGACACAGAGGATACACCTATCTTGTATTTTAGGCCCAACTTTACAATAGAAAATTATGGAAATAAGATTAAAATATCAGATTAGAATAAGGGTATCAATGATTTAAAATATATATGCCTAGAAGCCCTGACACCTAAAGTAATAAACACCCCAGAGCCCAGATCTTGGTTTCTAAATATCATTACTCATTATCAGGAACCAGGGCTCCTTGAAGAAAGAACTGACTCCAGGCCTGGTGCAGGCAACGTGTAAGGTGAGCCTGGGACATCTTGTGCCAGAAAATAAGGAAGAACTCAAAAATTAATTAGAGCTAGCTTGAAGAGGCTCAGGAATGTTCCTGCCACCCACTGTGCTGATTTATTTGATGCCATGACACAAAGATGCCAAGCTAAAAGGCGAACACAACACAAACTATAGTGCCCAGCACCACTGTGGACAGTGAAGAAATATCCTGGGGAAAAAAATGACTATCAACTTCTTCTCTCTATAGAAAACATTAAAAAGTGATTATCATATAAAGAGGTGATCAAAGACTATGTAGCCCCCAAAATATAAGAAAAGTTAAAGAAGTGTCAAGCTGTTAAATAATAGAAACATTGTTTAAATATTATGTGATATTTGACCGCTGTTTAAGATTTGCAATCTGCTGTTGCTTTTCTCTTTCATAAATATTCACACTTGTGTACATATATGTATCTGTGATTTTGTAGTTGTTTTTCTTTTTCCTTACAAAGAACCTCTAAAATTGTGTAAGTTTCAGGTCCTACAAAATCTGGAACTGCCCCTTTAGGAGATCAAAAAGAAGGCTGCTATGACAGAAAATTAAATGACTAGGATCTGAAATCCAGTGAATATGGAGAACAGGAGTTTGAGAAACGTTGAAAATGTAAAATCTAGAGCTCCTCAGTCAACTGGATATAGGGGATGGGAGAGAAAGCAGGATTGGATGATTCTAGTTCGGATGAATGTATAGACTTGAAATTATTCACCGAGACAGGGAATTCAGTAGAGTGAGGAAGATGTCTGGAGCTATGGGTCATGAGGGAGGCTGGAGCCAGAGAAATAGACTGGGTAATCATCAGTGTTGATACAGGACAAGCTGGGGCAAGGGATGAGTGGGTTCCTGGTCGGAGTAAAGAGCAAGAAAAGGTGAAGTCAATGGGTGGAACTCTGGGCAGCAGCTACAGGATGTGTTGCTTTTTTTTTTTTTTTTTCGGGCCGAAGGGTTGCCGGGGGGGGGGGGGGGGGAGAGGCAGTAAAGAAGATAGAACTAGAATAATTACTAAAGTACAAATAACTTTATTAACAAAAGGAAGAGGTGTGTTTGAATAATTTCAAAGAGCGAATTATTGAAATGTATTACATTTGGCAATAAGCACATAACCTGGCAACCCTGAATGAGAACAAACTCAATGTAATTGTAAATGGCAAAATTAGACTGTAGCGCACTGAAGAATGAATGGGAAGATATTTTCAAGAATCATGGCCAGCAGTAAGCAGAAAAATAGAGAAATAGAGGGGGTGTGGGGTCACGGAAGGGTCAAACCTACTTTATTTGTATCTACTAATGTTAACCAGGTACCTACCCTATGACTCAATAGCCCCACTTGTAGGTAGAAACCTAAGCATCATCAAAAGGAGCATGGATAAATAAATTACAGCATATCCACACAATGGAATATGCAGCAATAAAAAGAACAAATTACAGATAAGCACAACATAGATGAATCTCAGAAGTATTATGCTAACTGAAATTAGTCAGACACCAGTCATTACATTTGTATGAAGTTCAAGAATAGGTAAAACTAACCTATGTTTTTAGAAGTCAGAATAGCGGTTACCTCTGGGGAGGGGTGTTATTATAACTGGGAAGAGGAGAGAGAGCCTTCCTACGTGCTGCAGATGTTCTGTATCTCCATCAGTGTGATGGCTGCATGCATGTATACGTATGTAAAAATGCTGTACTCAAAGATTAGTGAACTTCATGTCCTTCCCTCTGCTATATCTCAATAAAAATGAATAAATGAATAAAACTAAAAATTTAAAGACTGTTTTACTGAGAAAATACTAGCACTACTAAGAAATATAAGATATCACCAAATCAAAGTGACTTTTGAGTTGGCCCTGAGATATTTGATGCATGGTAATCACAGCAGTTTTCAATACTTTCCTTTGATATCTCATGATCGTATCCACTGGTGAAGAGATAATAGCTAGCATCTGAACCCACAATCATGTAGGCTTTTTTAAATAAAAATTCTATTAATCATTAATAAACTTAGCTCTATTTAATATGGTACTCTCATTATAAAAGAGAAAATGGAATACTTACCATTTTGTCTGGTACCAACAGCAGCGATGATTACTGGAACTGAATTTAATGCTCTTTTTATCACCGGAATATAATTATCCTTCACTTCATGGAATGAAAACTTGTCATTTACGTTGTATTTGATCACAATGATGTCGGCACCCCCAATCAGATTTCGAGAACTGTACCAGTCACTGTCAAAAATGTCCTAAACCAAAATGCAAAGAGTAATCTTTAGTCTGTCTTCAAATCAATCATGTAACAGTAGTTTAATTTTTTTGTTATATTTTAACTTTTGGAATTCATTAAAAATTTTATTTTGCAAAAGTAACTACATAATTTTTTAAATGTTTGAAATCTACCAGCTTTTTATTTACTCATTTAGCCTAGACAACTAAGTAGTGGTAGACAATCTAGAGAATTCCTGAGAATCTAATGAAATAAACAACCTCTTTCAATATTTGTGTTTAAAAATAAGCACTTTGTTTTAAAATGAGGCCTTATTCTCACCATCTAATAATTTTAAAGACATAACGCTATACATTAGATGCAAAGCATCAGCATGAGTAAGGGAGCTTCAAAGGATTTTCCGTGACCCAGTTAGACACTGCGGAATTACTCAGTGTTTTGAATTGTAATGCACTGTAAATTCTGTGGGGCTCCATGTATTTTATTCATATTTTCAAAATTCATATGTACTTTCATGTATACTTTGGACAGCACCGCATGCATACAGTGTGTACATGCATGTACATGGTGGGAAGGGTGTCTCCATAAAAAGATACTGTGTATTATAAGATGCTAACATGGTAAGAACTATACTTGCAGTTCATGTATTTTGCTCATATAAATTAAAAACTTAGGCCCTAGTGGGGTAGTTTGGTTGGTTGGAGTGTTGTCCCACGCTCCAAAAGGTTGCAGGTTTGATCCCCAGTCAGGGCATGTACTGGAGGCAATCAATGGATGTTTCTCTCTCACATCAATGTCTCTCTCTCTCTCCCCTCTTCCTCTCTTTCTAAAAATCAATGGAAACATATCCTAGAGTGAGGATTAAAAAAAATTCAGGATAAGTCTTTCTAGTTTTGAAATATTTACTTTTGCATGAGAGTTCTAATATTTACTTTTAGAACTGGGGCCAAGAATAATTCTTTATGGACCCTAGTCCTTAAAATTCAGTGCTTTAATATTTTAAAAAAATTTTTTTCAAAGTTTTTGTGTGCATAGTAGAAAGAAAATATCTTTATGTGTCTTAATACCACTGTTAAATATGCATAAATAATTTCATCTCAAATTCTAGTTAACTATTCATCATTATTTGTCCTGTCATGTGGCCTTTTCTACGTATTTCATGGATGTAATAAAGCTGGATTAAGAAAATAGACAGTGATGCAGGCAAATATGGCACGACACCTATTTTTGTGTGAATAAAGATTTACTGGAACGCACTTGCGCGCGCGCACACACACACACACACACAGAAAGAAATAAAATAGACCAGGTAGATGTGGCTAACAGGTCCAAAAACTGTTGGATTATGGAAGTGTTCATTTTGACATAGGAGTCTAAAACAAGGTTAATAGTGTTTGAATCAATCAATCAAGATCTGTGTCTGTGTATCAGGGCTCTTGTCCTATGATGGAAAATTCTAGAGAAGTGTTACCCAGCAGTGCCCTTGGGCAGACGGCTTCTTCTCACCAGTATCTCCACAGCCCCAGCAAAACCTGTGTCAATTCCCCTGCACCTTCCCAACCCACCCATTTCCCTACAAGTACACTCAGAATAACAAGAATTTACAGACTTGTTAGGTATGCCTACTCTGCTGAAAGTAGAATGAATTACCTCCACATTTTTAAAAGGGAGAATAAAAACAAAAAAACTCAATCCATACACATATCTACACTAATTAAAAGAGAAAACATGGGTAATTGGCGTACGACCGCTACCCTTCCCATTGGCTAATCAGCATATCCTTATGCAAATTAACTGTCAGCCAAGATGGCGGCCGGCAGCCAGGCAGCTGGAAGCTAACAGGAGGCTTGCTTCCTTCAGTGACTGCAGACTCCAACGTTCCCCGCCTGCCGCTGCCGGCCTCTGAGCTTCAGTTGGAAACATAGTAACATTTATAGAAGATAAACAAAACTCCAGAAAACTCCTGTCAGTCAGCCGGGATCTCAGAGCTGGAGTCGCAACACTGTTTCGAATACAGAAAACAAAGGCCAGAAACCTGCTTTCAGCCGAGCCTTAGAGAGAAAGCCGGCTCTCAGCTCCAGTGACAGCCATAGAAGGTAAATAAATGCCAGAATAAAAAAAAAAAGAAAAAAAGGAGAGGTTTGGAGCTCCAGTCGCCTGCCAGCCTGAAAACGGCCCTCAGCCCCTCACCCAGACTGGCCAGGCACCCCAGTGGGGACCCCCACCCTGAAGCAACAAGATGGCGGCTAATTTGCATACTGAAGGCAGGCGGCAGCAGGCAAGGCTGTCTGAGGTCTGGGACCCAGATCTGTGACCCTGCCGGGCTGGATCAGCGGAGCCGTGAGGCCTCCCGGCACCGGGATCAGCGTGACAGGGGGCAGCGCCCAAACCCCCTGATTGCCCTGCGGCTCTGTGTGTGACAGGGGGCAGTGCCCCAACCCCCTGATAGGCCCTGCTCTGTGGGTGATAGAGGGCGGCGCCCCAACCCCCGCCACGGGCCCTGCTCTATGTGAGACGGGGTAGAGCCATAACCTCCCCATCGGCCCTGCCCTGAGTGTGACAGTGGCAGCGCCCCAACCCCCTGATTGCCCTGCGGCTCTGTTGTGACAGGGTGCAGCGCCCCAACCCCCCCCACGGGCCCTGCTCTGTATGTGACAGGGGGTGGTGCCCCAACTCCCCTATTGGCCCTATTCTTTGTGTGACAGGGTGCAGCTCCTCAACCCCCTGATTGACCCTGCTCTGTGCATGACAGGGGGGAGCTCCCCAAACCCCTGATGGGCCCTGCTCTGTGTGTGACAGGGTACGGAGCCCCAACCCCCCTGATGGGCCCTGCTCTGTGTGTGACAGGGTACGGAGCCCCAACCCCCCTGATGGGCCCTGCTCTGTGTGTGACAGGGTACGGAGCCCCAACCCCCCTGATTGGCCCTGCTCTGTGCCTGGTAGGGGGTGGCGCCGCAACTTCCCTATCGACCCTGCCTTGAGTGTGACAGGGGGCGGTGCCCCAACCCCCCAATCGGCCCTACCCTGAGCATGACTGAGGGTGGCATCGCAACCTCCCGATCCGCCCTGCTCTGTGCATGACAGGGGGTGGCGTCCCAACTCCCCAATTGGCCCTGCTCTGAGCCCGACCAGGGGCTGCACCTAGGGATTGGGCCTGCCCTCTGCCACCCGGGAGCAGGCCTAAGCCAGCAGGTCGTTATCTCCTGAGGGGTCCCAGACTGCGAGAGGGCACAGGCCGGGCTGAGGGGCCCCCTCTCCCCCCCGAGTGCACAAATTTTTGTGCACCGGGCCTCTAGTAGGAATATAAAGTGCAAAGTCTTGCACTTAGGACAGGGTGTAAGATGGGGGAGAAGTGAAGTGGGACACAGATCAAGAAAATGTGAAAGCTTCCAGTAGAGCTCTGGCTAATTTCCAAATCCCAAACCACAAAACCCATTCAGTTCCAATTGTGTCTGTTATAGTATTCAAACTCCAAGTATATAAGTATTAGAGGGGATGTAAGTATAACAATGAAAAAGGACGTCAGAAGAGGTAAACAAAAACTAAACATAAGTGGAATCAATAGTAAGCAGCCATTTAACTCTAGGAGAACAAAACAAAAGTAACTTGCTCTTTGCATTCCAAATAGTTCAAAATTCCAGTTACTGGAGAGATGTAAGGGGGTTGGGGGGTGGGTAGGGAGAGAAGCATTTAAGGGAAAATGTCATGAGAAAATGGGCTTTGGCATCATTAACACTATGGTACTGGGAATATCAAGACATAAATCATTTTATTTTTAATACAATTCAGAGTTTCAAACCTTGCACAAGAAAACTGCATGCATTACTTCACTGCTTCTTGTGGAATTATTTTTGGTAAACAGGAAAAGATCTAGAAATAAAATAACTGCAACAAAAAAGGGTGGGTTTGAGGGAGACATACTAAATAATGAGCTACATAAAACGAAATCTGAAGCACATTTATTTTTAAAATACCAAGTTTATATGGCAAGGATCCAGAGTAAGGCTACAGATCTAGAGAAGAAAACTAGAAAAGAGAAGCACAGCTATCTCATTCTACCTCCAAGAAAACACTACATTTCTTCTCAAAGAGAAAAATGCGCCACTGGTTAGACTAGACATATGAAGGAAATAAAATTTTCCCGCCCCTTGTAAATCAGTTCCAGGATTTCCTCTAGGAGGTTATGTAACACAAGGCTTGGAGTCACATTTGGAGAATCAAACTCATCTTTTTAAAACTAAAACTAATCTGAATTTTTACAGCAAAACAACAATTTTATTCTACTTGATTGTGGGGCTGCAAATACAATACTAAGTACTAGCATTTCTGCATCGATGTACTGTATTTGTTTAAATCTTGAATGATGTATGGAAAACTACTTTGGCTTAGCGTAAGTGACACATGGCTACACTAAAGTTGTAATAAATAGTCTATTATTATAGTAGCTTGCACTTATTGAGTACCTGCTACATGCCAGTTTCTATACGAAGATCTTTACCTGAACTATCTCATTACTCTCCAGCACAGCTCTAGGGGACAGGGATTATTATATTTACTTTATACATAGGGGAAGTAAGGCGCAAAGAGGACAAGTGACTTAGCAAGGAATACAACCACTAAGCAGCAATGTGAGGATCTGAAATCAGGTCCTTTTGATATCAAAACCTGTGCTGCATCTGCTCTGTTATATTTCATATTCTGACTCAGTACATGTCAAATATCAGATGATGAATACAATCAACTTTAATATCTCTGATGTGCTTTTATTTAACACCAAGAGAAGAAAAGCACCTTATAAAGAATAACTCTACAAATGTATTCTACTATGTCTGCAAACCATTATAACCTAGAAAATTATACCTGGTTACAAATTCAGTGCCTTAAATAGGGCCCGAGTCTAACCAAACAAAAGGTGATTTTATGATAAAACATAACAATCAGTAAATGGCAGTAAAAATCACTGGGGCTTACTTTAATCTATTTGGAAGATTTCTTTGGATCACAAGTACTGCTGTTTGCTAAATTAACAACATAAACAGGAAAGAGTTAACAGCTCAAAGAAAAAAATGTAAAAGGTAATCCTAACATCCTAATTCAGCTTATTTTATATTCCTGACATATTTCCTCTTTTCCCTCAATGGTTGATCAAGTTCATGTAGAACCGATGAGTTTTTAGACTGTAAAGTCTTTCACAATGAAATACCAAAGTTAAAAGCAGTGTTTTATTTGCTTGCATGGACTTCAAACAATAAATTCTCTATCAATGCTTCTTATGATCAGCAGCATCTCTTTCATAACTAGGAGTTTAATAGCATCACTATTATTGAAAAGGCCTGTTTTTCATTTGTTTTAGTCTATTAATGTAAACTTCCTTTAATCACAAATTTATTTGGATAAGTGATCTTTTTCCACAATATAGAAATTTGTACATTCTATACATTTCCTTAGAAAGGTATATTAGTTCCTTATTGCCCCAAATTCGGTTTTTAAAACTTGCTAAATGTAAAAATCTCACATAATGATAATTTGTATTCTCTTTTTCAGACACTAAACTTTGTTCTGTTACAAAATCTAATCTTTAGTAGCAATGTAACTCTAATACCACTAAAGAATCAGGCATTTTCAAATAAGATTAAACGAAAACATTGAAAAAAAAATATGATGTTATTGTGTACTGAAAACATTTATATGTGTCAGGGAGTAGATTCCTTTCTCCCTCTATCAAACAGTCAAGAATCGAATTAGCATTTATCAATTTCATTACCATTGCTGTCAATTATCGCAAAATTTAAAGCTTTTAAAAAATTCCAAGCATATTATTAATATCATTTCTGATTTATGGATCACTAAAATCAAATGCCTAATATGTCAAGAGTATCCGTATTATTAAAATTAAAAACACTAGTTAAAAAATGTCAAAGGTACATAGCAATATGAATGAGTTCTTTAAAATTAAGTCTCAGTCGCTTTCTCCTTCCAGGTCCTGTTTCTGACCTGCCCGGTGGAATGCATTTGTGCCTGTGCGGAGCTTCAGAGAGAGGGTTTATTTTTAGAACACTAATATTACGCTATCACTCCCAGGGCAGGCATGAAAACATTGCTCTCTGCTGGCGAAACTTGGTGACCCCGTCCCTCGTGGTTGGCACTCTCAGCTGTCAGCGTCTACCAAGGGACAGGGCACAGCCGCGAGGTGTGAGCGCTCCGCTTCCCCTGGGCTTTGCGCCTTCTAAGAGTGCGCTTGGGGCTGCTCCCTGCCCGACGAAACAAAGAACCAAAGGTTTCCCCTCAAATGTTCGAAAACGCTAGCCGGTGATCCGGTCACTTCACATACATAAAAGGGGGGGGGGGGGGAAGAGGAAAAAAATGAAAGAAAAGCCGTGTCCGCCTCATCAGAGAGCAGCGCCGCGCCTTACCCAGACGGGACAGTCGTGGACCACCAGCTTGACGTTCCCAAACGCGCTGGCCTGGTACTCGGTGAACACGGGGCGCGCCACGGTGCTGGTCGCGCTCAGCAACAAGCTGCTCTCGTCCCCCGAGACCAGCGGGCTCCTCCCCAGGTACGTGCGGATGAGCCCGGACGGCCGGCTGTCCTGGTGGAAGGAGTCCCCCTCGTTCCCCAGCGCCACGATGTGGATGGACCTGCGGGGCACAGAGGGGCCGAGCGAGAGGAGCGCGCGGTCAGCGCCCGGAGCACTCGGTCCGAACAGGAAGTGCGGGGCCGGCGCGCGGAGGGCGGGCACCAGCCCCTGCCCCGGGGCGCAGCACGCGCGCCGAGGAGAGACAATGGCAGGACCCCGCCGCGTACGTACATGATCTCAGATCCCAGGGCCGGGCGACGACTCGGAGAAGGCGGCTCCCGCGGCCTCCCGGTCCGGTGCGCGACGCGCGGACCCGCAATCAGCTCATCCCCGGGCGCGACCCCCTCGCGTGCTCCAACGCGGCGCGGCCGACGCAGAGCGGGCCCCGCCGGGCAGCGAGCACCGGGTGGGGGGCGTGCGGGGCCAGCCGAGTGCGCGGGGCCGGCTGGTCAGGAAGTGCCCGGGAACATCCAGGGCGGCCGCGCCGCTCCCCACCTCCGGCCACCGCCACCGCCGCCCCGGGAGCCCTGGGCGCCCCGGCGCTGCAGCCCGTCTCCGCCACGCTCCCTCGGCCGGGCAGCTGTCGCTGTCTGCGGCTTCTGCCGTTTCTTCCGCTGCTCCTCCTCCTGGCCGAAGGGGGTTCGGAGAAAAGCTGGGCCTCCGCCCCCTTGGCGGGGCGGGCGGGGCGGGCGCAGCACGTGCCAGCCTCGGGGGGTCGGGCGGACG